GGCTCCACGGCCCCGTCTCACCAGCCCAGGGGCAGAGGGAGGCACCACCGTCGCGGCAGCGCCAGGACACCCGAGGAGGAGTTTCCAGGCAAACAGGAGTGTCCCGGGCTCAGCCAGCTTTTGGCACCCAACTGCAGCCGCACGGCTGAGCACCACCATTATAACCCATTAAAAAACTGGGTGTCAGGGTACCAGACTCTTCAACTAGACATTCAGGTCCTGAGCATGTAACAGCGGGAAGCCGGTGCAGCACGCTGCAGGGGTATGTGCCGTGACACGAGGCACTAGGAAGAGGGCAATAGGTGGGATGTCTCAGACCTTCAGCAAATCCAAGGGATGGCTGTTTTTATACGGCAAATACATGGAGCTCCAGAGTGACTCCTCCAGGCCTGCCTGGTCCCAACGCCACGCTGATGGCCCCCACTTGCCTCGTGCTGACTGTCAGGATGTCGCTGATGTTGGAGAAGAGGTGGTGGTGCTCCGTCTGAGTCATGGTCTCCTTCAGCTCCTCCGACCTCATGAAGTGGCACACCAGGACACTCAGGCTGTGCATGTAGGAGTACTCAGAAGTGATGATCTCAAACATTGCCTGAAAAAGCAGAGCAGTGAAGATGTAACAACACAAACTGGATTATTACTGACTAAACAAGGCCGCGAATTAATACTTGCTGTATCTTATTTACATTCGGTTGGCACGAAGCCACTGGAAATGACTTTGCTCCAACAGTGCGGCATTCCCTCATCTGATGCATTGCCTGGCCTACACCAATAACTTCAGCATGTTTTAGGACTTTCATTCATTAGTAAGCCACAGCCCCAAGATGTTTTCCCTTCCAGTGGCTATGTCCCATCAGCACCCGAAGGAGTTGCCTGCTTCCCCACCAAGACGTGCGGGTGAGCCCTCCCAACGCTGCCCAGTCCCAGAGCTGCTGGAAGCAGCAGCACCATAAACCCTGACCGCAGGAGCTGAACCCGAGCCTGAACCCAGCCCTGCTCCGAGCCGACCCCGTGCGAGAGGTCCCAGACACAGCCACGCGTGTCCCCGCTGCCTTCGGCGTTCACGTTGTGCTCCCGGGCGTGCCTAAGGCTCCTCTCACCTCCTGCCGTTTGCGCTCGTCGGGGGATATCTTCTGCAGGATGCCTGCTTCCAGCACCTGCGGGCGAGAGGCCGGGATCAGCCGGCGCTGTGGCTGCGGAGCGACAGCCCTTGCACGCCCTCTAGTGCGGTCGGGGGCTCTCCCCGGCCCCGCACAGCCCACCAGCCGCCCCACGGCTGCATCTCCCACCACAGCCACCCACGGCTCCACAGCATCCCACGGCGGTTCGCTGATGCCGCTCCACAGGAGGAGATTATTCCTCCCAAGGGCCAGCAGGGAAAACCCAGGTACCCAGCGGGAGCACCTGCATTCCCCCGCCTGCGGGTGAACCTCTCGCAAGCACAACCGCAGCAGCTCCGCCGGCATCCCGACGAGCCTGGACAGGAACCTGCGTGTCCCAGCCAGGGCTGGACAGCCCCAGAACATCCCATTGCGAAGACTAATAGGAGGAGATTATTCCTCCCAAGGGCCAGCAGGGAAAACCCAGGTACCCAGCGGGAGCACCTGCATTCCCCCGCCTGCGGGTGAACCTCTCGCAAGCACAACCGCAGCAGCTCCGCCGGCATCCCGACGAGCCTGGACAGGAACCTGCGTGTCCCAGCCAGGGCTGGACAGCCCCAGAACATCCCATTGCGAAGACTAATGCTGCTGACTTACCCGCTCGCGGTTTGTTCAGCAGCTCAGAGAGCTTTTAAAATACAGGCAGCTGTGCTGCAACATGGCACGAGCACAGGAGCAGCCCACGGCGAGGGCAAGCGGGGCCTTTCGGACCCTCCGGGCTGGGATGCTGCCCCTACCTCCGGGAGCTGGCTCCAGGTCGCCTGCGCCGGGCGATAGCTCCGCACCACGATAGCGGCATCCGGAGGGGATAGCTCTTCTGGGACGGATCCCTCCAGCAAATCCTCATCTGACTCATGGCTGAACGTGGTGAGACCACTTCTCCCGCCGTCCTGA